GCCCATAGCCCTGCTTCCTGCTGGCACATGGGATATTGTAAGGCTTTCTCCTAGGAATGGGATGCTATGGTCTTTGCTTTCTCTTTCAGAGGAATAAAAGGAAAGAGCGGGACTACTTGAATATTGGCTACTCTCCCATGGACAAGGGCAGAGGCAAGGGACAGCCCCCTTCCCCACGGACCCACACTGTGTAAGCTGAACGTCTCTCTGCCGAGGATAAGAACTTGATCAGTGGAAAGAACAGCTTGAGTGAAGTGTTTTATCCTTTGCCAGCCTGTCTCTCCCATACCTGACACTTAACCACTTGCTGGCATCCTATGGGAATGGTTTAAACCAACCAGATGATCCCAGCACAGTGGTGGTAGCATCTTCCTTGTGTGCTATGCTTTGGGAAAGGAGAGGAGGAAACGGGTCCAAGCCTTTAGTGAGCAGAGCCCCATATCCTTGGCTCTGGAGAATGAGCTGAAAGCTGTGCTACTGCCACTGAGCATCTCTTACAGCAGAATGTGAAGGAAGATGAGAGCAGAGGGAGGTGGTTTGCACCCATGTGCTAAGTAGCATGAGTTCCTTATATAAGCAGAGAGAAAATACCCCAGATTATGTGTTTTCCTCTTGCCCCAAGTGATGGGACAGCAGTAAGTGATGGAGAGGGGTCATAAGATGAAGGAGAGTGGGCAGGGACATGTGTCAGCTATATAAAATCAGAGCTCTTGGGCACTTTGAGTTGCAGGGTTGGTTTTGAAAGGAGCAGGGGTGGGTGTTAAAGTGGAGGCAGCAAAGCTGTTGCTGAGCTCATGCAGAATGAAAGATCCAACTGAGAAGACGACAAAAGAGATGTCACGTATTCTGTCCTATGTGTCCAGCTTTGGGCATCAAACCTCCTTTAGAGGCACTTGGATCTGGCCTTTAAAGCAGCCCTCTCCTTCCCTTAGATCCAGACAAGCTGGATATGTAGAGAAAGTAAGAGTGGGAAATACCAGGGTCTGTATCCACTGATCCAACAGAAACTGCATCCACGAAAGGCTGATGCAGAGGAAGGTGCAAAGCTCCATCCCCAGGCTGTATTTGAACCTAAGGCGGGGGGGGCCCAGCTGGAGGGAGAGGAAAGCAGGGATTGAAAACAGCAGTAGGCTTGATGTCATCCTATCCACAAGGTTGGGGAGGGCCAAAGGGAGCTTGGCTGGGCCCTTACCTGCCTCGGAGCAGGGAGGCTCTTGATGTTAAGGCTTTGTTTCTTGACAGGGTTGATGATGAGTCAGCTTCCGTCTATGAGAACCTGAACATCAAAAGCCCGAAGGTTTCAGGGATGAGCAACACGGGGCGATAGAGGAGCCGGCCGGAGCTGCGTGGAGGCTGTACAGGTGGGAATGCTTGCCCTGCTTAACCCAGTGTCACCACGGCCTGTTCACATCGTGCAGCTCCCCGTGGCTCTGCCTGCACGGAGCAAGGCGACTGAGCTGGGACGGAGCTGGATGGAGCCTAAAGATGTGGCTGTGGCCAGGTGGGAGAACAGGGGGAATGGGGTAATGAGATCTCAGCAGGGAAGCACATTGACATCACCAGTGAGGGGGGAGAGCTGCTGCTGGGCTGTTATGTCAGGCCATGCAGAACAGGAGGGTGCTAGCAGGAGAGACCTGGCTCCGTCGCCTGTCCCTGCGCTCTTCTCCCACTTGCAGCCCATCCCAGCCTTCTCCCTTCCTTTGGAACGCAGGTTTTACAGCGGTTACGTCCACCCTTTCCAAGTCCTGCAACATCAGATGGTTTCTTTTGCCTTCCCGAGCACCTTGGGTTCAGCGAGGAAGCAAGAAGCCGAGTAAAGAAGCAAGCAGAGTCTGCACCTACAAACATGCCTTGACTTGACTCACTCATGAGAAGGACCTTGTCCCGTTCTCCCCTGGAGCGGGAGGCTGAGGTTTATATGGAAGTGCCTCTGGACATTCATTAGGCATCAAGGCTCAGTTTTAATTACTTGGGTTTTAATTTAAGATCCTTGGGTTTTACACACAGATTGTTCGAAGGAATGGAAAGGGCTGTTTGCTTCGGAGCCTCCCCAGGGTTGCCCACTTAGGGCATTAGTAAACCGTTAGTACACTGTAATGTTTTCATTAGGTCAATCATTTCTAAGCTTAGAAGTGTTCTTAGACTAAATCCTGGGGTAACTTTGCTGCCTGTGAGTAAGGGAGAGAAACAGAGAGCACTGCATAGACCTGGGTATTTGCACCTCTGTGGATTCTCCTTCTCACACTTCCCTTTGGCTGTACCACTTGTAGATGTCTATGCAACCCTGCCAAAGCACACCGGGCAGTCCCTGCTGCTGTCCTAGCACAGCAGTTGCACGTGTGTGTGTGCCTGAGAGCCCACAAACTGCTCTGCCCCTGGGTTTTATGGCAGAGCTGAGAGGCAGAGGTGAGCATCCCCATCCTTAGGGGGGTCTGAATGTGAAACCCCACCTGGCTGAAGGGTGCTGAAGCAGCTTTGGCTGCGGGCTGTGCTGTTAGCCACCCCTAGGGAGTAACAGCCTAGGGTGCTAATCTGAGCTGAACCTGTTGAGCTGGACCCCTCTAAGCTTGATGCAGCTCTGCGTTACCTTGCTGCATGACCTCTTCCCCCCCCTCCTTCAGCTATATGACAAGGCAAGCGTTGTGTCTGCTGAGTAGGGGTGTTGTAGGAGTGTTTGTGACTTGACCAGTGCCATGAAGATGAGTGTGTTACCGAGTGGAGTATTCCAGCTCTTGCTGATAAGCCTTGACTTGCGACTGCCAGTGCTTCCTGCTGTTCCAGCCCTAAAGGCCAGCAAATAGTCCTGCCAAAGAACCCCTTCCCGCAGGATTCATCGGTGTCCGACCCTGTGGGGAGCTTTGGGGCTGAGTGCTGGGGCCTGAACCTCCAGAGCTTGCATGGGGCTGGTGTTGATGTCCTCCCGGTCTGGAGCTGGGTGGACTTGCTGCATGGTTGGGGTGTTTAGTGCCTGGAGTGCCGGCTCCAAGTGTTGAAGCAAAGCACAATGACGTACCTTGGCTGTGTTTCCTGGCTGGTCTTTCTGCTCCCTTGTCACAGGGACAGGAGAACTGTTTCTTCTTATTGCACTTTGAATAAATGTTGAATATTCTCGAGGCTTTTTTCTTCTCTGGGATTTGACTGATGGTTGGTGTGGGCAGCGGGGCATTCTGCTACTGTTGGAGGGCCCTGTTTTCACTTCACAGCTGTTGACTCCTCCTTTGGACTGAGCACGAGTGACAGATTCCAGCTGCCTGTGAGCTAAACCTTCAACCTTGGTTTCCAAGTACATGGGGAGAAGGGGAAGTGCAAGGGGGCATCCATAAGGATGCCGTGACAAAGTACTAGGAACATTGTACTGTGAGAACATCTCTCTGGCCCATTCACCATCACAGCAATAGATTTGAGGAGGCTGGAGGTGTTATTTCCCTCTCCCCTGCCTGGGAGTTGAATGGTACAAAGATGCAGTGACAAAGCATTTCAGCTTAGTGTCTGTTGGCTGGGCTTGGTATCAAATGCACCTGGGGAAACTGGAAGTGCCTTCTCTGCCTTAAGCCTTGAGCCAAGAACATGCATAAATTGGTGCTGGGAAGCATCCTTCCAGTGGCAATGGACAGCAGGATCAAAGTGAGAATCCCTGTCAAGGCTAATAATGCCTTTGGCAGACGCTGTGACGGTGCCTGGAGTGGTTCCTGCAGACACAGATCAAACCAGCCTGGAGCTGAACAAGAAAGGTGGTGCAGATCCAGCGTCCCACAGAGGGTTTGCGTAGCAACAGACTTGAGCTGCTTCAGCCTTTTCTGCTCCAAATTAGGTTTCCAGGGAAGGGAGACTGGAAGCATCCTTCCCCCAGCTGGGAGAAAGCAGAACATGAGCAGTCTTTGAGCTTCTCCTCTTCCAGGTCACATCAGGTAAGCCCAGAGGGATGTGGAACCTGGGATAACACCATGGGGATGGTAAGTGTGAATTTATAGGGTAAAGCTGGGTTGTACAACACTGGCACAGGCATGCTGTGTAGCTCCATGATCTGGGAATGCTGCTGGACTCAGGACTACTACGTGCCCATCTCCAACTGCAAGTGAGAAGGGAAATGTGGAGTAATTGCCACAAATGGACACATTGCATTGTATAAAACATAATTTAATACATACATGTATGGTACTTGCATACAATACTGTCTTACATCCATGTGCTGGAATAGAAAACACGTAATTGGAAGTTGCCTTCATCATGAAGACTTTAATCACTGTCAGATCACTGCATTAAATACAAATAGAGTGTAAGCAACTGGCCTGTGTCTTAATACTGACACATTTGATGATTAGGAGGGTAAAGCTGCTGTCATTTTGGCAGCAGTTTGCCTGTGAGAAGCATGAATGAAGTTTGCTGATGAATTAACTGCCATGTATAGTGCCTAAAAACTTCCCCCCTTATGTTCAGAGTTCCTTTCCAGGTAGGAATGAGGGATTTTTAAGCATCTTCTTAAGGGAAAAGCGAGTAGAATGGGCTCTCTGTTCCGTTCCCAAGCTCACCGGGGTGGTAACACAACCGAGGTGATGGGTACCGGTGGCACATCCATGTTTGGTCAGCAGGAGGCAGCATTTACACCTCCAGCATGGAATAACGCAAGGGAAATGTTCCAAGCGTGTGGCATGAAGGTGATTTTCATCTGTTTCTATGCCTTTGACATGTCTTTACCCTCCCAATCCCAGCTCCTCTTAGGAATAATCATGTAGATCCTTCAGTCTGCAGAAATAGCCCTTTATTCCCTGAGGGAGTTAGAGGAATTGCACCCACTGGCAGCTGGTACCCAGTCAGGATGGCACACAGGGCAAAGAGTTCCAGAAGCCTTCAGAGCTCTGTTTTCCGTGGGGATTTTGGCAGCAGGATGCTGCAGCAGCTCCTTGGGGCATTCCTGGGCTGGAGACAGCTTGGCAGGGATGTATTTCAGTAGAGCTCCTGAAGGTGAATGCATGCGTTCAAGCTAGGAGCGTGGGGAGTGGGCCATGAGGTCTTCCAGGACCATGGAATGCTGCTGGAGCAGCGGCCCTGTTCCCACCTCCACGATGTGCTGCTAGATGGGAGCGAGGAGCTGCTTTGCTGCTACTGGAAAGGGAGTTGTGTCACTGGTGTGGCTGCCGTGGTGTGTTTAGGGGGAAGATACTCGGGTCTGCTCATGGCAACAGTCCTTGTGAAGCACCGGAGGTTCCCTGTCTTCAGGGCACACTGGACTGGCCACAGAATGATGCAGAAGAGGATGATGATCAAGGCAGAGAGGAGGACTATGCGCTTCCAGTCATCACACATGTCACAGCGGGACAGCCTCCCAGCTAACCCTGTCGGGGGGGCCTCTGAGCTTTCTGGCTTGCTCATGGCAACATCGATGGAGATACAGGAGTCTGGATCCTCGGGGTCATCGGATGACTGACGGCAGCACAGCTTGGTCCCTTCCATCCACAGCACCTTCTCCTGCTGGAGCTCGGGAGGCAGCGTGGCAAGGAGCTCCTTACTGGTTTCCAATGCTGGGGCACCTTCCAGAGGGATGCTGGTCAACTGCCTGCAGAAGGGGCAGGGGAGCTGGTCCTCTGGTTGGTTCGGGGGCAGCCCCGTGCTCAGACGGGCCACGCATTCCAGGCAGAAAACATGGGAGCATTGGAGCAGTTTGGGTGTCTTGAAGGTGTTGTCGTAGGTGTTGAAGCAAATGGAACACTCGACAGGAGAGGCTGGCTTTGGAGAGGCTGGGTTCGGAGAGCCAGGTTTGTCAGTTGGGGATCTCGCCTTCCTCTTGCCATCTCCTGGGGAGGTGACAACAATGGGGCTGATGGGGATGGGGATTTCAGTTGGAGAGGCAGGGACCGGGCTGGTGGGAGACTCCGCCGTGGTGGAATGCCATAGGTGTGTGAAGCAGGACATGATGGTGCCCGGGGAAATAAAGAGAGCCCTGGGAGACTCTAGGAGAGAAGAAAACCACAGCCTCCATTTTAACCAGTGGGAAGACACCCATCACCGCACCTGCGTTTAACCCCTTAAAAGAAACCAAGAGCAAGTTTGTGACTTCCAATGCATCCTGAGCCTGGAATAGATCCCTTCTAGAGGTGAGAACGACACAGGTAGCCTGGTCGAAGCTGATACCGAAGGTGAAGTTACACATCCTGCACAGAAGCAAGCAACCAGCAGAGCTCCACCATCCAGCCAAAGCCTCTCCACCAGCACCACCATGGCACGAGAGAGATGGGCGCAGTCTTTCCCCATCCATGCCTCCCTCTGGGCAGATAAAAACACAAGCAGCACCTACCCCGGCTGGTGCTCCCCGATACCTGCGCAGGGAGGAGAGCAGAAGACTCCATGAGGTCAAGTAGGGACCTCGTTATGGCAGCCTATTAGGCTGGGAGGCACTCAGATATTATGGTGGCAGCATGGGCAAAGCCTAAGAGACAGATAACACTATTCAGTTGTGGAGGTAGAGAGGCGGGGGGGGGCGAGCCTCTTCTCTCTCTGGTGTGCTCATAGAGGTTGTGCCTTGGAGCATGGTCCTAGGAGGTGAGGCACCACTGTGATGCTGCTTGGCTTTGTGGATCCAGAGCGGGACTGAGCTCCCTCATCTCACAGGAGAACCCAAGGGAAGGGAGGACACAGTTTAGTGCATCCTCGGCCACAAGCAGCGCAAAGAGCATCGATACTTGTCACCGTGACGCAGCAAGAAAAGCAATGGCCCTGGTGCGGGAATAAGGGGAATTCTCCACTATTTCCTTGTTGCTCGGGTTCCCCTCAGGAAGCACAGCTCTCCCCTGCGCTCAGCCCCTGGGCAGTGCCAGCACAGCCCTTGAGAGCTGCCAGGTGCACTCTGCGCTGTCATGGCACGCAAGCAGGAGGCCCTGGGTAGCTGATAACAGCAGTTCAAGTCATCCTAAACTAGACATGCAGCTCTGCAGGCATTCTGGGGCTCGCATACGCCCCAGCACTTCTCTGCTATTGAGCACTGCTGCCTGATCAGTGTTTGGCTGGAGGAAACTCCCAGCCCGATGCTGTGTGCCTGGGGAACATTCCTGTAGGCTGCATCACTGAACTGGCTGTGCTTGATTCTTCCTGTTGGGAGATTTAAGCCATGACAAGCCAAGAAGGTTCCGATGGCTGCTGTAATTATAGGGCTCCATTATCTGGCAGTGGCTCACCAGTATGGGCTAGAGACTCCACATCCCTGCATTAAAGGCTAATTTAAGGTATCAGAAAGACTGGGTATTCCTTATATTGCCCAAAAATAGTCTCCATTATTTAGGAATGAAGTATTCTCCCATCACAGCTCGCACTGCCAGAGCTGAAACCACCTTTAAGAACCTTCCTTCTTCTCTTATTCTAAATGCAGCCATTCTTAGGAAGCCTCCAGTTAAATTCCCACTCACAGATGCACCCTTTAGCGTGTGGTAATGTTTCTTTAATGCAGTTTCTCTCTGACTAAAGATCACTGTGCATGTTTTAGCACTATCTGGCAGATGCTGATGAATTCCAAATCCAGTTGGCACAGAAATAAGGGAAACCCCTGAGTTTTGTGGGTGGTTTTTTCCCCCACTAAATCTTCCGGTTTGCAGAACTCCATCCCCTACACCCAGCCCTTTGCAGTGCCTCGGCTTGGAGTGCTTGTGCAAAATAAGCAGCACCACCAGTGGCAGAAGGTAACCTCAGACGGAGCCTTTGCTTATGAAACTGTCATTTCATAGCCTATCTGATAAAGCTGCTCTGTTGGGGGGTTTACTGGCTTGTAATCTGACAGCTGTAGCAACAGCCTTATCGTGACAGTAAAGCTTGAGGAAGTTTACTCACAGTATTTGCTTTGAAATGAAGAGACCGGCTTTTGTTCACAGTTTCCTCCTGTTAAAGGTGATCGTGACACTGTAGATGCTTTTTAGGTCTAATCAATTTAGAGTCGACTTAATTTTGCCACTATCTTGGTGCCATGGGGCTCTTTGATCAGAGATGATGCAGGGAGACTTAAAATGGGAAGATATGAAGAGTATAGGGCCAAGGCTCGCTAAAGCTGGAGGGTCCCAAGCACAGACCGGTTTGGGTAGGAAAAGGACCTTAAAGCTCCTTTACTTCCAACCCCTTTCCACTAGAGCAGGTTGCTCCAAGCCCCATCCAACCCGGCCTTGAGCACTGCCAGGGATGGGAAATCCACATTATTATGTGTTTATTATTAGGAAATAAACCACTGAAGACATCCAGTGTGGAATCTCAATAGAATTAGGTAGGATTTGGGGGGTTGGTTGTTTTCCTGTTGGTTTGGGGTTTTTTGCACTACAAAATCATGTTATTTATGTATTTTTTACATACAGAATAGTATCTTCAGTTGCTCAGACCTCCCTGCTCACACTGCAATGCCTTAGCCCTGCACCCATTCCCCTCGCTTTCCCAGCTTTTCCCTGGGCTTTCCAAAACCCTTGGGAACATCAGTAAATAACTAAACCATCCAGGTGAGAGCCATAAACCCAGATTTAAAACTAAGTGTGATTCTTAAATGATTCTATGAACTTCTATGATTCCTTTTTACTTCCCCACAACTTCTAGGAAACTTCTTTCCACCCCATAAAGCCCGACAGAGGAGAACACGCAGTTACGGTAGTGGCCATGTAATATGATTCTCTAATGGTATCTTATAACTCAGAACCACCGACTACACAGCGAGTTAAGAGGTGTATAGATTAAAGTCTATAAATACCTGTTCAAAGTGCTGCTTAGGAGGAGAAAAGCATGTTCCAGGCTCTTGATTTCTACCCCTGAAGAGTCTTCTCTCCAGAGGATAGGCTTAGTGTCTTGTGTTATAAGTTGCTTTCCGGTTTCCCAGCTCCCTGGTTGCTTCCTGACTTGTTTCCAGCACGGTAGCTCTGTGTACAAGTGGCCCTGCCGCTGTAATTCAGGTATCTTTTATACCTTCCTGTCCAGAGGTGACTTACCTGCTCCACCTGCCTTTCCCCATCACCACTGAATCACTCCACCGGCTGCGAGCGTGCTCCCGCTCCGGCCGGTTCCTGTGACAAACAGGGCAGGCTGGAATGCTCCTGATAAGGGGCAGTGCTTGCGAGGAAGAGATGTGGGAAATGTTTACTTCTTCATCTTCTCCAGTTGGGGAAGGCCTTTTGCTTTCAAATCCTTGCAATTCCTCAACCAGCTTTGAGGTTGCTTAATCGCTCTTTGTAATCTGGTCTGGTTTGGGCAGGCGTTTTCACAGGGCTGCAAGTTTCAGGACCACCTAAAAGCAGCGACGGTTGTTCTCTTGTTTCTTCATCAGGGACAAACTGTCTGACAGTGCCTTAGATTAACAGGACTCTGACACTCAAATTCCTTGTCCTTGGTTGAGGAGGACGATATTGTTGCAGCAGAATCATAGGATCAGAATGGTTTGTGTTAGAAGGGACCTTAAAGCTCATCCAGTTCCAACCCCCTACCACAGGCAGGGACACCTTCCACTAGAGCAGTATAAAATCCAGTATAAATCTGAAAGCCAGGAGGCTGAAACAGTCTACACTGCTTCAAGCTCCTATAGGGTGTATGGAGGGGAAGGAATGTCGTTCTTTCCAGCTTTTGGTAGTAACTGACATAGAGAAATATTATTTGACCTGTAAATCTTTTGCAGTTCAAAGGACATCAGTCCATGAGCCAAGAAAAAGAACCAACAGATTCACACTCAAGTGCAGATAAGGAAACAAGAGTGTGTGTGTTGAGGGGGAAATAATGAACAATCAGAATTTAGCCTAGTTCATATATTTGCAAATATGACTTTGGACAAAGCAGTGTCTAAATCCCATGGACTTTAGTGGCACTTTGGCTCCCCCATTCCTCTGCTTCAGGTGCCACTGTTCAGTTCTAGTGAGCTGAAAGCCAGAAGGAGGTTTTTAAGGGTGTTGAAATCACCAGAGTTTTAAATCACTTTTAAGGTTAAAAGTGAAGTTCCATGACCCATCCACAGCTCGAAGGACCCGATCTAAAGCATTGCTCCTCCACACTGAGCTCCGTGGGTGACTCTAGAAGACAAACACCTCAATGGAGAATTCCAGTTAAATCCAAACTTTCCCAGATCTGCATCCCAACGGCACAGTTCCCTCATCAGAGTGCACATACAGCATAGGAATAACAACCCACACACCAGACGGAGCACCCAATGCCAGCACGGTGTACTCCCAATCTATTTATGTTGCTGTTGAAGGATGAGTGAGGCTGGGAAGCAAACACTGCCTAGAGCTGACAAAGCAGGATGTCTGATGAATGGATGTAAATCGGTTTTAGAAGGCTTGCTCACTTAGTCACCTGCATAAGCACTTGGGTAAACTGAGCTCAAAATTAGCAGCATTTCAGTAACATATCAGGGGGTTGGACTAAATGACCTTTGAAGGTCCTTTCCAGCCCAAGCTAATCTATGATCCATGGCAAGGGGGGGTTGGAACTGGATGATCTTAAGGTCTTTTCCAACCCTGACTATCCTATGATTCTACGTTACATTGGGTAACACAGTGAGGAACAAAAGTCCTTGTTTTGGGTCTAGCTGAGATCCTCTGCCCTGGTAGTGAAGAACAGTGATTCACTTTATGGTCATGCTCTAAAGACAGACATAGGCACATTTTAAGCCCTTTACCCACTGACAAGACCGGGGCTGTCAGCAGACCACTGCTATTTCAGCATTTCAGAGAGGGGTTTCCCATCAGCTTCACCATGGAATGGGTTGAGTCCAACCCCGAAGGTGAGAGCCTGGGGCAAACTGGGCCGCCCCACACATACCCGCACATTCCTCCCTTTGCAAGGACACAGTGGGTGTGCAAGGCACCGAGCGTGCCGAGACCAGCTCCGTACTGGGATGACGAGGAGGGTTTGGCTTCCAAAAGTGAGTGGGAGGCTTGCTGTTATTTTTATCTTCTGCTTAGAAGAATAGACTGAGCATGGTCGGAGCTGCAGCTGGTCCTGGGTGGATCCAGAGGATTGGGAGCCATCAGTTGTGGGAGCACATACCTTCCTGTTTGTACTTAAAGGGACAGTGGTACTAAGTAGAAACAGTTCATTAATTTCCTTGCATTACACATCTCAGGTGCTTCTCAAAGGTATTCTCTGGGTACAGGCACAGGGGTATGCAAACAGCAGGCTGAAAACACTTGTTTAAATTCATTCTTGCTAAGCCATGCAGGAGCCAAGAGGATGTGACTGGAACACTGGGATGAGATGTAGGAGATGCAGATCTCTGGTATAAGCACCGTGACCTGGAGCAAAACCATTTCCCTGGGGTTTTGTGGCTTATTTCCCAAATAGAAAAAAGAATTTGATAAAGAAAATTAAAAAAAAAAAATCATAAACCTTCCTTTTTGGACATAGTCTTTGTCTGGATGGTGTATTTAAATGGGAAACTGGAATATTTAGGGCTGGTTACAGTGGCTCCAGCCAGAGATCCGATGGAGGATCCCACCTGCAGTGAATAACTGTGATTGAAACCTTGACTTTTAACTGTCAAACCCTTCCCACCATCCCCTCTCCTTGTTTCACCACTCTCAGCAACCACTGCCATCTCATCCAGGACTGCTGCAGAAGTGATGTGGTCTCCTCAAGGGTATGTATTCTTTTCAGGGGGCATTTAGGAAGGTTTATAGTGAACAAGATCATTTCCTAACAGCAACTACCAACTTTGAGTGTAACAAGAAGCAACGTATATTGCAGGGTAATACAAACAGACTGCTGATTAAAGCTTCAGGCTGTTCCTTTGCTTGTGTTTACCTCCACCACTGCCCAAGTGCATAACCCTTTTCACTCTCTGTGTACTTCATCTCAGTAGATAAAGTCACCAAATAAAGGTGGGTGGAAAGAAAGAACACCAAGCAATGAGCATCAAGCTTCCTCTGATCCCTTTCTCCATCCAAGGCTAGCTAGTTTCTCATTCCTATGTACTGTTTAGCACATCTGGGAGTGCTTACCTTTTTGACCATGTTTTGGGTGTTGTTTGCAGCTCTGATTTGTTGGGACACATCCTGAGGCCATGTATAAAGCCTGGAAGGGCTTTTGTGCTGGGAGAAACCCAAGGGAGCAGTTGCTATAGAAGCATGAAAGTGTCAAGGGTCACACTGCTTTGGACTCAGCCTTTGTAGGACAAAGCTCCAACCTATTTTAGTGTTATTCTTGCCTATAAAAGACACATCTACTTGGTCCTTGGAGCTGCATTTTCAAAAGAAAAAGATAAGGGTATTGCTTAGGACTGATGTGCTGGTTTTGACTGGGTGAGAACAAGCCTGTCTAAAGCAAACACCCTTGTGCAACACGGAACAGAAGTGTCTGTAGGGTTAAATGCTTACAGCAGGAGGATACTGCTCAGACTACGTTGTCTGTTAGCCCTCACATCCACGCTCTCGGCTGAAATACACATGCACTAAGAAATCCCCAGCTCCTGTGACTTCTGACATGGGTGCAGCTCAGTAGCTGAGCTTGCCACCTTCCACTGTTATCATCTGTTAATCAGATGCAGGATTAGTGGTGAGATCCAAGCACTGCCTGAGTTTTCCTGTCAAAAAGTCCTCTGGCCTCAACCTTAGCATCGCTTTGGGATCCCACGGTGCTCCTGAGAGTCAGAAGGCCTGATGCTCTACACGATTAATGCTCTGGGGTGATAAACAGGGTTATTAAGTGATGTTTCCCATGCTAACTCATGGAGCTCTTTTGTTTGGCTGGGCTTCACGTGCAGCTAGCTGCCTAACCGGGTGCTGGATGTGAAGCCTTATTAGCCTTGCAGTAGTTTGCACCTACGGCTAGACCTGGCTATTGAAATTCCAATGCATGTATTCTGCTCTGTCAGGAAAGAGCCTGGTGAGTCACCAGATAAGGCAGATGGGAGCTCACCGTGGCGTAATTTTGGTATAATTATGTTTTATCCTTCTCTAACTGTTTCTAGCAGACAAGTTCGAGACACTTCCCAGACACAGAGAGCTGCGCCTTCCAGTAACTATGTTGATTGAGGACGTTATCTCATTTTACAGCCAGGGAAGTTGTGTGGGGCATGGGAAGGCCAGATAGCATTGAGAAATGCTGCTGTGACCTCTGTGCAAGCAGCAGTGATGGGACAAGTTGTGCCCCTTCGCACAGCAGAGTGCCTTGCTGTAGCAGTGGAGTAAGTCTTTAAATAGGAGGTGGAGTGGGAAACACCATCAGGGTTGTGCACTGCTCATAAATGTCTACTAAGGTAGTTTGATATAGGTGCAGATAAAACTGTTCCTGTTAAATAGAGCCACAGATTGTGGCCCTCAGGTATCTCCCATCCTCTAAGTGATGCCCGTCTTTACCAACCAGGCCAAACCCAACTTCTGGAACCATCTGCCTCTGCAGTTTAATCTTATTCAAACACTAGATCCACCTGGCACCTAACTTGGTGCTGTTCTTTGTTTCCTGTAGTCACCAGGAAAGCACCATGATTAGATAATCATTACAAAGTACAGCAGCAACATAGCAATTTTCCTGATACTCCATCACTCATGTGACTATTACTCTTCAGTGGCTTGAGGCTGTGTGATTCAGGCACTCGCGGCTAGCTTCTCAAATAGCAGGAATAGCATCCATTCCCTCAACATAAGGTCAGGTTTCTTTTTCTAGCCCTTTATTTCTGATGGAATGACTCATACCAATGGCTGAGCTGTGGTCTAGAAATCGCTGGTGATCCATGAAACCATGCCTAAGAGACTGTTGGCTTTCCAGATGTTTATGGTGCTTCTATAGTGGCTTGCAAGGAAAGTTTGAGACCAACACTCATAAACAGCAGCTCAAAGGAAGAGTAAATCCCACCAGAAAATCATTGGAAGCATTCTATGAGTATGGCAGTTCTTCAAGATGATGCCCACAATGGGGCCTGTAAAAGGGATGGGCTTGGTCGAAGGGGCATTAGAGCTGCAGCACCAGCTCCTTTTGATGCTGTGGGTGGCTCAAGTGCAGCCGGAATTGAGATGTAGTTCCATGCAAAGTGCATGGGAACCAAAGTAATTGCTCTCCTGAAACACAAACGGGATGTTCTCCCCATGGATCACAGGTAGCTTGCTGCCAGCACTAGAAGACGTTTTCCAGAGGCAGCTGCAGTCATAGCACGTTGCTGATGGGGAAGACTATCAGCAGGGCTAGAGGAGATGGCAACAGCAGCAAGGCAAAGGGCAGTGCTAAGAAGCTCTCCCCAGCACATTGCTCATTGCTGTCATGACTGCCCCACGCA